ATTTCTTGCTCAGATACAGCTTTAGTTGCTGCTTTTGTCTTGGGTGGAGGTGAAGGAGATGATATCTCCCATGCAGGAGTGAAAGCTGAAAGAAGTAAAAAATAAATTTGAAGGCCACCTAAGGTTTTTCGTTGAGGCAAACTTACTCCTAGCAGGTCGCCTGTTTCTCTGCCCTCGTTTCACCCGTGACACTAGATCATCGTCTGCATTATCTGGCACAATATTTGACTCAGCGTTGACGACAGCAGGCATACTCTTCCTTTTCTGTGCATACTCCTCGCTATCTCGAGTCTTCATACTTCTAGGTCGACCTCTTTTCCTGCCAGCAGATGCAGGTGGAGTCTGAGCAACAGAATTGTTCGATCGCGAAGATGAAGGCTGATCTATTTCTTGCAGTCTTCTTAATGAAGCCTTCTCCAGTTCTGCCACCATCTTGTCTAGCTTTTCTGCAAAAATAAGCAAAGAAGCCCATTCAAGTAAAATTGCATATATTAAAGTGAGAACTATTACATTGAGACCTACTCATTTTAGCCGACACATCATCGTAAGAATCCTTATCTCCTTTCTTGATGCATTGCCGAATGACCATCAACATCGTTAACGCTTGTGCCACATTCTCTCCTGCATTAGCTGCAGTATCCAATATACCTCTGAAAACATCAGACTAATTAAGTTTAGAAGAAAGAAAGTTTCTCCTCACAGTATGTCAGTGATCCGCTCCATGAGTGGGATCTTCCACGATAATGACTGCCCTGGTTTCTCATTGTCTGAAACAAAACCACAAGAGTAAAGACAAAGAGTAACTCAAAGTGCTTCAAAATCTATAAATTATAATTTTCAGTTTTCATAAAGAAACAAGAAGAAGATTTCATAACTAAATAATAGAGGACATACTACAAATAAAACTTAACTATTAAGTCATGATACATAGTGACTTGGACAGAAATCATGTACCAACCACAGAGCAAAAAAAGAGCTTAGCTGTCGTACCTATATAACACTCATTTTCTAGGGGTTTCTCCTCGGGACAGCACTCTTGACTAATATTCGCTCTCTTCGAAAAATCCCCTGACGTTATGTTGAGAGGCTTCTTACTACAAAGTTTTTGCAATTTTTCGGTAGCTTGCAGGCTTGCTTCTTTCAATTCACCTGGAAAGAAACAGCGAAATGAGCCTGACTTCGTGACAGCAGACCTATAAGTGCTGTTTCTATCTGATTCACAATGGCATCACAACTTAACAAAAATTCGTTATCATGACATTTAATTTCTAAAAAAAGATCACACTGAACAAAGTACATTTTTAAAGATTAGCTCTAGAATCCATCAAATAACCAACCTAGCGTAGCCTTGTAAAGATGGATTGGCATTGGCGGTTGGCTACGATCGCCGTTCCAACACACTTTTAGCATCCAGTCACACATCTGGAACAAAAAAAA